CCAGAAGAAGTTTCCTCATCGTACTGGAGTTGCCCAGAAGAAGTTTCCTCATCATACTGGAGTAGCCCAGAAGAAGTTTCCTTATCATACTGGAGTGGCCCAGAAGAAGTTTCCTCATCGTACTGGAGTTGCCCAGAAGAAGTTTCCTCATCATACTGGAGTAGCCCAGAAGAAGTTTCCTTATCATACTGGAGTGACCCAGAAGAAGTTTCCTCATCATACTGGAGCAACCCAGAAGAAGTTTCCTCATCATACTGGAGTAGCCCAGAAGAAGTTTCCTCATCATACTGGAGTAACCCAGAAGAAGTTTCCTCATCATACTGGAGTAACCCAGAAGAAGTTTTCTCATCATACTGGAGTAACCCAGAAGAAGTTTCCTCATCATACTGGAGCAACCTAGAAGAAGTTTCCTCATCATACTGGAGCAACCTAGAAGAAGTTTCCTCATCATACTGGAGCAGTCTAGAAGAAGTTTCCTCATCATACTGGAGTAACCCAGAAGAAGTTTCTCATCATACTGGAGCAACCTAGAAGAAGTTTCCTCATCATACTGGAGTAACCTAGAAGAATGAACAAATTCAGGGATTGAATATGAAAAACACAAAAATGCTAACCTATCTCAGATTCCAGTTTAAGTTGTGAAATAATTATAACAATTATATTCCTGGTCTTATGCTGCTTGTTACATGTTATTGTCCAACACAGTAACTTCATTGTAAACATCTTATGCTAAGGATGAGAAACGTCAAATTTAAACCATATGTATTGACAGACTTTACACAGATCCTAACCTGTATATGAACATTGGCTCCCAAAACCACATTTAAGCATTTCAAAGGTACAAAAGAACATTAGCTCCTTCACGTGTATATGATCAATATAGAATTGTTGTGATTCTAGTTTTTTTAATAATCTTATCATGAAAACAGCTGTCGATTTCGAGGTGTATTTTTCTATTACCTTTTTAGTAATACCCAAAGGTACGCATTGCTTTACTGCAATGACTTTGTGGTTGAATTGCATGATGTTCACATACTCTGAAGTCTGAACCATTTATGGTTCTTATGGAAATAACCATTTGTTGACTATTACATACAAATAATAATATCAAAAACATGTGTTAAAAACTTTTCATCTGTGATTATGTAAACCATTACCTCAAGTATTCTGTTTTATAAAATCTATTTCTCAAAAGTCTTGCAATGGTTTGGTTTGTTTGGAATTTCGCCGAAAGCTACACAAAGGGCTATCTGCGCTAGCCGCCCCTAATTTAGCAGTGAAATATTATATGTATTACTCTGAGATTTTATGTTGGTAGGATTACGAATATGCATTATAGAAACCAGTCTAAGTAATTAACTTTTCTCTTTGTTAGAAAAAAATATACCAAATTTTGAAGGCTAATTAACTGGTGTCTCACATTGTGCTTGACATTTAATGTCTGAATATGTCAGATGCTATGTTCGCCAAATAAAGACTTTTACTTATACTTCTTAATAGTATAAATATATATACTGTGTTCTTGTTGGGCTTAGGAGTTTTCTACAGCAGGTGTCTGCGACTTGTTCGCGATAAATTCAACGATAAATGAACAGCACGCACTCCAACTGTTTTCAAAATAATATATATATATTCGGAACAAGTTAAACGTATGTACAACAAATTATTTACACTATAGGGATTACAGGCATATCATGAACACTATATATATCTATATAGTTTTTTTCTTCTTGTCAAAAGTCCACTTGGGCCTATTCAATTACTTTAGAATCTCAGTTGACAAGCCGAACTACCTTTCCCTATTTTTATCGCATTAGAATTTTGTGTATAATTCACTTACAATTGTGGCGCGAGTTACCGCAATCGTATACTTCTCTTCCAGTTAATCGTTTGGTTTTCTTTCTTCAAAATATCCTCTGTTCTTTTTATCAAAGTGCACTCAGGCTGATTCAATTACTTTAGAACCACGCTTTGAGGGAATAAATTCTTCTTCTGATCTCCTTTTCTACTGTTAGTCTTACTCTAACATATTAAACGTTAGGCCTATCACTTTTATGGCAGTTAAAATTCACACCGAACTTCTCCTTGGCCGTGACTTTACTCTCTTCTGCTGTTTCCGCTCGTTTCACACTATTTATATCTTTATCACTTAATCGCATGCCCGCCTTCTAGAAATCTCTATATTCTCGACATCAATGTATTGCACGTGACATTCAATAGTCTCAACATCAATGAATTATGAACACAACTGCCAACAATCGTCTGCTTTTAACTCTCTCATTATAATAAACAAACTATTCAATCATGAAATATTAACTCGCAAAATAAATAAATTAATAATATCTACACTAAACAGTCTTTTATACCATGACAGAATAATTATTTTATTTTCAAAAGATGTAAATTCAGAAAGAGTAAATAGAAATGCTTTTGTAATTGGAAAGAATCATGGACTTGTATTTAAAAGAAACATAAAGAAAACAATCCTAGCTAATTTTCCAGGGCTAAACATGATTTAATACTATGAGTAACTTACGTGCTGAGCCTACTTGGTTAAATTCCTACCTCTGTTCATGTATGAGCAAGCTTTCTTTTATATGGAGGCTCTGTTCATCATTAGCATTTGCTAAAATTTCAAAATAATTTGGATGGATGACAACGTATGGTACAGCTTTTAAACTTTAGAATTTTACTGAATTATTTTTTTTCCAAATTGAGAACAAATTTAACTTAGTATAATTATTACTAATGCAAGAATTCAAGCTTTAGTAATGAAGAGACGGCTTTTCCCCCTTATATATATATATATATAAGCAGCAAATAAATTGAATATTTGACGCTTTCAACAAGCATTTGTTCAAGCGTATACATCCTGTTGCTGGGAGTGCTATAAAGTTTGTGGACAGGACTTTGAATCTCAGGGTTCACGGCTTATTACAACAAAGTCATGCCTCGCCTTTGTGGCCGTAGGTGCGCTATAAGAGTAATTTATAAGGTTATTTATAGATCAATGGGTGAAATCCCAATATTTCGTCAGACAAGGGTTAGAGGTTAGTACTTTTAATTAGCTGATTTCCTTCTAGTGATCTAGTCTATCAGCTCAAAATTAGAAACAGATAGTTCTCAGTGTAGCTTGACGAAAAAATTTTATAGTAAACAAGCTTAAACATTATTATTAGCCACCAGTCTCACAGCGGCATGTCTGCGGAGTTACAGTGCTAGAAATTGGGTTTCGATACTCGTAGTGAGCAGAGCACAGATAGTCCTGTGTGTAGTTTTGCGCTTAACTACAAACAAATGAGCCATCTGTCTGCTTATCGCGATATCAAATCCCAAATTTGAGCGTGAAAGACCTTCAGACCGATAGTCAGCAGTAAGTTTAAAAACCTATATAACGTTAAAATACGATGTTCGATCATAGCGCTGGGCACAGCACAGGTTGTCCTTTGTGTAATTTTACGTTAACAACAAACAAACGAACTTTTTTTTCTGATTCACGGATCATACCGCTAAACTGAATTATTGTTTTCCAATTCACCGCTAGAGCTTATAACTTTGCCACGTGAAGTTAGTAACTGGGTGTTACTAGCAGTCAGTTTGCTATCGAAAATGTCTGTTACGAGGCGATTGCTTCTTATTTCGAACTCCACAGAGCATGGTAGTGGGTTCCTAGAATACTGCAGTGAACGAGTTAAAGCTTTCTTTTCAAAGTAAGATTACCAAGTCATGTTTATATGTATATAAAGTGTAAGCTGTAATATGCATTATGCTATGTCTCTTAGCTGTTCGTACACTAAGAAATAGTTTTTAATTTTAGAAAGTTTGAAAAAATGAATGAAATCTGGTCTAGGCCGACCCGATTCCAAGTAACTTGATAAAAATTAAACTTAAGGACTGATTAAATCCAGACCAGGCCTGATGATCACTACTTTGAAAATATTGAGAAACGCTAATTATTATTTATGTTAATTTGAAAAAAATGATCGTGTATTATATAATTATTTTAATTTATAAGTCAGTCGGTGTACTACCAAATGATATCCACGTAACAGTGTAAGTTTGATATTGTACAACGCATGCACGTGACATAAATGAGACAAATTCTATACTGAAAACAAACCCAAAAAATAAAGACTAAAGCAACTAGTGAAGCATATAAATGTTCCTACGTTTTCTATCAGTAGGTTGACTATGTTTATACAATTTACGTTAGCTTATTTTTACTCTGTTGTCATTAAGTTTGAAGGGGAAATACAAATTCACACATTATGGTGCCAAGTGCTCGTGCAGGAGATGATTTAGATGGTTGATAAGATTTAGGGCTGTAAGAAGCGGTAAGGCCAGTCAGGCTATGGCTTGACCACTTTTTCATGGCAATTGTATATTGTGGCTAAGTTATGGGAGGAATTCTTTGATTTTCACTGTTTTAATTGGTTAACGATCCCACAAGACTTTGCGAGTGTTAAGTCTTGAGAAATAGATTTCATGTAATTATCATAACTCACAGTTAGTCATTTTTGATATGAGTATATACAGACCAACATGAAATTGTAGGGGGAATAAAGCTATAGGACCGTTGTTTTTGAATAGTCAAGTTGTGGTATTTATGAAAGTGAAATAATCATTCATAATATCGAGAATTACTACCTAACATTTATTAGTCATTTTGGTATTATAAATTATGACCCAAATGCCTGAAAATGAAGGAATTCCATTGTAAATTGGATATGTTACCCAATCAAAGGCTTAGTAAATATGTTTAGGAACAATAAGGGACCTATTGATCCATCTCGGCTGTCCTCTAAACTAAACAAAATTATTCCATGGGTTGACTGAGCTAAACCTTCATCCTCCTGGATGCATTATGAAAGATTACCTTAAAATGTATCACCTTTTTTTATTCAGTATTATTAACATGGTTCACATCATATTTGTAGTTATGTACTTTGTTATTTGTGATATACATGTATGTATATCTTTATCATTGTCTTACTATTTATTTCAAATTCAGTAAGTGTTGTGGGCAAAGAGACTTACTGTAGAATTTCACAAGTGAAGTGCTAAAGATGAAATAGAAAGTAAGAGACTGCCATATGTATGTAATCTCTACTTATTGTTCAGTAGTTATTAATTTGTACAACTCGTTAATTTTACTAACGTTAACTGTAAGACACAAGTTTTTTGTTGTATGGGATAAGTTGTTATACATTGTACTTTAACAGGCCTTTAAAGATAATTTTCTAACACATTTTACATCACTGGAGAAATGTGCATTTTCCTTATATTGAGTGATGTTGGATATTTATATTTTTGTTAGATATGGAGTGTCAAAAGTCTTGTTCGTTCCATATGCTCTCTTCGACTATGATGGTTACACAAGAAAAGCAAGAAATGCGTTTCAGAATATGGGTTTGTCAGTTTCCTTCTTGTTTCTTTCCTTTGAAAAATATTTGTAGAGAAGAACCACCAAAAAAACTAGTCTCACATTAGCATATGTATTAGAAGGGTGACCTTGTATTTTGTTTTTTTCCTTACGATAGCTTAATAAATATAACTGTCAGTTCATGTTTTACTGAGTTTCTATTAACTACTTTTTTCTTCTCGAGTAATGGATGTTTTGGTTATAATGTACAAACCAGTTTATTGCCCATACGAAGCTTCCTTTGCTCATTTATACTTACTCTGTAGAAGAAAAAAAATTAACTTGTTTTTGTCAGTTATTCTCTTTTCACAAATTGTATTTATAGATACTTACTGAAGTTTTATTTCTATAACTCGTGTTGTTTTTTTTTAATTGTAATACTTTTGCTACAGGGGGGGAATGAATAATGAGTAATAATGCACAATGCTGTCATTACATGTTGTTATTATGTAGAAATAATGTTTGTGGAGGTTACTTAATGAACTTATCTTTTATTTGTATTTATTTTCTTAGTCAACATAAGTTTAAAAAAAGTTGTTGCTTATGGTTAAATGCTTCACCAGTTCTAACTAACTTTCTCTAAACACACTGCCAGTTGATTAGGCACATATGGCGTATAAGCATATTATATACACTCAATTGTTTTATATGATTTCTTGTGCTTTTAGGATTAGAACTGGAAAGTATTCATGAAAAAGAAGATCCTGTAGAAGCAGTTAAAGAAGCACAAGGAATTTTTATAGGTATTATCCCATTTCCTAAAGGACATTTCTTTCCACACCCGCAGCCAAATTTAATATGATTTGATAAACAAGGGTTTAATATGTTTGTGTTTAGGAAGGTAAATGTATGTAATATTAAATGAGAGTAAGAATACTAATTCTTATTGTTGCTTGTAATGTTTATCTATAAAAATAATCATTAAATAAAAGGTTTAAAAATTCATGTTTTGAGTTTTCATTCCTGATTTGCTCTTAACTTATTGCTTATACTAGTGGATTTTAAATATTTGGCTTGCAAAAATAGCGATTTTTGTTTTCGTTAAATTCAGTAAGACATCTTGAAAGCATGTGTATATTAATTCACGACATCACATCACAGATTGAAAAGGATTTAATTTGCTTGAAATGTTATAAGTTTAATTTAATTAATTTTAGCTTTTTCAAAACTTTCCAAAAAAATCTTGTTATCACTTATGACAATTAACGGTTGTAACATTTTTTTAGGGGGTGGAAACACATTTCGGCTGCTGAAGACTTTATATGACAACAACGTTATTGAACCTATTACTGAAAGAGTGCTTCAAGTAAGTGTCGTTTTTATAGTTTTATGTTATTATAACCTTCATTTAAAAGATATTGTGTTGTTATAAATAAATATAAAGTTTATAATTTTTCGTGTGTATGAAGGATAATGTAAACTTATCTTTTCTAGATAAATAGTAGGGGATTAGTCTTGCATTCGGTGAAACTATCACACTGCAGAAGAAGTAGCAAATGAAAAAATAGATTCGGCCTCTACATCATTCATGGATTTTTTTTTCTTTACCAAAATTACATAATGAGGAGAAGAAAAACTCGTTATTAATTTGCGATTTAGTTTGTTGAATGATTACGAAGAATTTATTGTGACAGTGTAGTCTTATGTTGTTCAAATACCCAAAATAATAGTGATGAGTAAAAGAATTTACACCAAACCCTGAAATATTGTTTGTATTCCATAACTAAGGGGGCTTTGCTGTACTTCTTTAGACTGCTTTCCCAAGCAGTACTGATGAGCCGTGCATTCCGTGAAACTAGTGTACTACAGAGGGAATAGTAAATTCAAACATAGATTAAGTCTGTGTTCATTCAGGGCTATTCTTACTTTGTTATCCAAAATCTTCACACAGTTTTAAACTTACTCCTAAAAAAAAGTGGAGCCTTTCTTCGAGGCAGATAATTTAAATAACTTACATGAAATTGAATGTTTATTTTTAAAAAACTAAGACGATGGACTTTTAGTAATATTGAGTTGGTCATTACATAGAAATTAATAGTTTTCAATCTAAAACAAATTTTCTGTAGACAAATTACTTACATTAAAAAATTCAATAGTAAAATCAATTTCACTGAAATACATAGTTTTCGGTAACTGTGTATAGAACAATTGATATGCTTGTTCCATACTTTGTGATTGGCCAATGCTAAACTGAATAGACTTAAAGATTTAGTAGTGGTATTTTGTATAGTAAGCCATATTCATTTACTCTGTAGAAAGTAGTAATACATTTAAAAACATCTTTGAAAATTGGAGTTCATATTCCAACCTAAAACAAGAAGGAATCCTCAATAGCCATGGCTGTAATTAGATCTCAAATCCGTCAAGATATGGAGCTACGAACTAAAACTTTGTACTTGAAAAAAAAAAACTGAGCCATTCTATGAGCCACCACGCTGCATCTAACAAAGTTGTGTGTGTGTGTTTTGTTTTTTTTACAGGTATATGTTCTATTTCAATTCCAGATTTGTAATATTTTCTGAGTACTTACATTTTGTTAATTTAGTGTACTGTGTGAATATAACTAAGAAAATCATTAGTTCAGAAGTTACATAAAAAAAAATATTTTATTGTGGAAAATTGTCATTATATTTCAGGATATTTTCCAGTTTGTATTAATATAAATACTCATAATTTATTTTATTTTCACTTTAATGGGTCACACCCATTTTTACATTTTTCATGTAGCATGATTGCTGTAAAAATAAATTCAGTAAAATGTTTGACGAGTATAGCGTGTTCTGTGTTGCAGAATTAAAAATGGTCTTGTCTTTAATCACAGAGCGGTTTGCCTTATATGGGATCAAGTGCTGGAACCAATGTTGCCACTGTAAGCATCTGTACAACTAACGACATGCCAATTGTCTTCCCACCGTCATTCAAAGCCTTGGGTCTTGTGCCATTTAATATTAACCCACACTATATTGACCCAGAGCCAGGTAGCATTCACATGGGGGTAAGACTGTTATCGTTACGGGTTTTTCATATCGAAGACTGTGCCGATCAAGTAGCTTACAATTGTCATAGTTATGAATAGAGCATGTAATCTTAGAATAGTATTATTTGTATGTTCCTCTGTTGGGATTGCACTTAGTTGAGCCAATTTTGTGTAATGGTCACTTCTACGTAGCTCTATCTAGTGTAAAGTCACTTGATAAGTTATGAATTATATCCTTGAAATTACAAATGTTGAAAATGTTTACAAGAAAATTTTGTAAGCAACTTTTTTCAATATGAATTTGACAGCCATTAGGAAGACCATTGTTTGAAATGGCACAACTATCAATATCTTGCCGAATTTTGACACGTTCTAGTAGTATAGTTATAATTGTATGTCTGATAACTAATATAGGTTTTATCTACTATAAGTATTTAGCAGATAATGTAGGTTTTTTATCTATTATAGGTATTTAGGTCAAAATGAAAATGAAACATGTTCAACTTTGAGCACAGGACTTAGTATGTGTTTGTGTGCATACACACACACAATGGTTCGTATATAATGGAAAATAGCAGGGATATCATAATGTTGTTGGTTATTGTGATAAGTGTTACGTACTACTATTTATTTGTTTCTTAGTAAATTATGATTGAAGTAGTTATTTTTTTTTGCATTTAATTATATGAATTAGATGTTACTTTGTTTCTGAAGGAGACGAGAGAAGAAAGAATAAAACAGTATCATGAAGAAAGAACAACCCCGGTATTGGTAAGTCTAATCAGAACTTTGGAGTTAATAATATTATAATGAGTTCTTGTGTGCTTATTCTTAGAAACAACATTATTCGTTAAACTACTGTTCGATGATTGGCTTTTGTTATGATAGAGTTGGGTATTGCGATATAGAGGGCCGTATCACAATATGTTGTGGGCAAGAATCTTAGCTAATTACTGTGGTGTTCTTTCTGCCATATTGCCGTGTACAAAGAACTCTGGGTAACGTACCTGGCAAAGTACATGAATTGTGTTTTGTTTAAGAATTATGTGAACATAATGTTAAAATGTGTCATCATTTTAACAAAAATATGGCATGGAATACCAACGCTCCAAAATAGCACCATGGTACGTATCGTTTCAAAACATCAACATATATCAATAACACTGTGAACCCTTGTGTTCTACTCGCAAACGATATTGCTCACTGACATTCAGTGAACATTTATTAATTTTTCATTACGGTATTAATAATACTGCTTATGCAAATAATTGATTATGGGAATATTAGTTTAAAAAACTTGTATGCTGTAATTTGCTCAGTAAATTTAATGTTATTTCATTTTGATTTGATAATTTATGCTACTAAATATCATCATCACAACAAAACATTAATAAAAATAGTCACACGCTTTGCCTGTACCCAAACACTTAGCTAGATCTGTGAAAATATGGCATTGTTGCATTTCATTTATATTTTAAATATTACATGTCTGAGAAGTGAGAACTTTTTAATGTGTATGCCTCAGTCGATAATATAAGCATACAAGTTGAGAATATACTACTTGAAACCTGTGGTGGGCAGAGCAAAGATAGCTCTTTGTGTAGATTTGTGCTTAACAACAAACAAACAAGCTACCTGAAAACAATAAACTGTTGATATAGAAAAAACAAGAGGGAATCCTCAATAGCTGTGGCTGTAATTGCATCTCAAATCAGTCAAGAGATGGAGCTAGGAGCTAAAAGTTTGTACTTGAAAAAAAAATTCTGAGCCATTTTTATGAGCTGCTGTGCTACGGCTAACAAGAACTAATATTTGTTTCATTATCTTCACAGGGTTTAAAAGAAGGCAGTATGTTGGAAGTGGAAGGAGACAAAGCTGTTTTACGAGGAAAGACAGGGGCAAAGTTGTTCATTAGGTAAGAAAAAAAATGTCTTTATGAGAACGTTATTGATGAGATGTATATGTGCTTGTCCTGAGGTGGGGGGTCATTTCCTCCTCCCCTTTGTTAAACTAATCTTTATCTGCTGTATTTTGTCCTTTTTATAAAGGTTTTCCATCGTGTATGCCAAGTACTAGAAGTAAGGCTGATGTTAGCCATCTTTTGGAACCATAGTGAAGGGTTTTAATAATAACAAAAATGTACTTTTTATTTTGTATTTTGTCCTTTTTATAAAGGTTTTCCATCTTGTATGCTGAGTACTAGAAGTAAGGCTGATGTTAGCCATCTTTTGAAACCATAGTGAAGGGTTTTAATAATAACAAAAATGTACTTTTTATTTTAGGGGTCAAGAACCGCAGGTACTGGAAATTGGAACTGACATTAGCCATCTTCTGAAGTCAGAGTGAGAAATTTAACAACAGAGGCAAAGAGGCTCGTAACAACTGCAATTAGTAAATGTAAAAGAAATAACAGTGTAAAATTGGGTTTTAATTTTGTTAAATAATCATGACTCGATGGTGTGTATATATAGTCGTTAATTTGTATTGTTATCATGCAATTAAAATCGTAATCTTTTTTAAATGAAATATAATAACTTACAAACGTTTTCAAAGTATGATATTCTTTAAAGTTTTGATATTCAAGATTTATATTAAAATACCAAATATGCATTGGTAAATTCTATGAAAAAAATGAGTGATTGTGAATATTACATTCTAATTTTTCATGTTTAACACACTTTTGCATTTACAGTGCAGATATAATTGTATCAGTTATATTACAGATGTAAGTTCACAAATGATTACTTGTTTATCAGAGGAATGAGAAATAAATTGTTTTCATAGTATATTTGTTTATTATTTTTTTTGGATTTATAATATTTCTCACCAACATAGTGCTTTTGGTTTCTTTGAAGTTTGAATAAAAGAAATGGCCAGGTGGTTAGGACACTTGACTCGCAATCTGAGGGTTGCCTTTTCAGCCGTGGGGGGCATTATAATGTGACGATCAATCATACTATTTGTT